TTTTTGCAACAACAAAATACTATGGTTTCCCGAACAAACATGCCAACACAGTTCTATCCCCAAGGTATTAGGGGTCACATTCGATAGCCTCTTTAAGTCGTCCGCGCATACCACTGCTATCTGCGACAAGATTAGAAGTAGGAACAAGGTCCTCAAGTCTCTGGCCGGCAGTACTTGGGGAGCTGATGAGGAAACCTTGTTGACCTCTTACAACGCGATAGGCCGGTCTGTGGTAAACTATGCGGCTACGGTGTGGTCCGCCAACGTCAGTGCTACGCAGTGGAAAAATGTTCAGTCCTGCCAGAATGCCGCCCTTAGAACCGCAACAGGGTGCCTTCTCATGACACCTGTCGATCACCTACATGAGGAGGCGAAGACAACAACAACACAGTTCTATCAATCCCACGGCAGCGGGTTCTACGATACCGGATTGACCCGAAACAACAAGATTCCGTGTCGGCCAGCGGCTGCCAACCCAGTATGTATATGTTTGTGTTTGTTTATTTTTCTGCATTGGGAGCAGCATATCCCGGAATGCTTGCTCCGGATTTTATTGGTCCGTACCGGGATTGAGGAAAACCCCGGACCTTGGTTCTGCTCGGTTTGTCAGAATGTTATCCACCACAGATCTGTCTCGGTGCGATGTATTGGATGCAGAGAATGGGTGCACTTCAAGAACTGTTCCGGACTAAGGCGTTAGCGAGACTACAGCGAAAGGGATTATGTTGCGACTTGCTGCAGTAACGTAGTCCCCAGCGAGTCCACTTCTTCGTGCATCCGGATTGTGCATAATTCTTGCAATTCAATTGCAACGGACTTCGAGGCAAAATGGATGAGATAGTGGAATTTATGAGTCGGAGGAATATTAAGATCGCAGCGGTGCAGGAAACCAAGCTGAGTGAAAATTGCAGCCTACAACGTTGTTATGGTTACAACGTACTAAGGATTGGGAGCAGCATATCCCGGAATGCTTGCTCCGGATTTTATTGGTCCGTACCGGGATTGAGGAAAACCCCGGACCTTGGTTCTGCTCGGTTTGTCAGAACGTTATCCACCACAGATCTGTCTCGGTGCGATGTAATGGATGCAGAGAATGGGTGCACTTCAAGAACTGTTCCGGACTAAGGCGTTTGCGAGACTACAGCGAAAGGGATTATGTTGCGACTTGCTGCAGTAACGTAGTCCCCAGCGAGTCCACTTCTTCGTGCATCCGGATTGTGCATCATTCTTGCAATTCATTTGCAACGGACTTCGAGGCAAAATAGATGAGATAGTGGAATTTATGAGTCGGAGGAATATTAAGATCGCTGCGGTGCAGGAAACCAAGCTGAGTGAAAATTGCAGCCTACAACGTTGTTATGGTTACAACGTACTAAGGAAGGATCGCACCAGAAGTGGAGGTGGGGGATTAGCGTTCCTTTTACACCATTCTGTTCAGTACAGACCTATCACGCTTGAGCTAGTCTCTAGTGACCCATACATGGAATGTATGGGAGTAGCAGTCAAGTGTGGAACTGCCGAGGTAGAGGTGCTTAATGTGTATATCCCGCCGATTAATAGCTGTAAACCGCGTTATTTGCCTGATATTAGCCCATTATTGGTAGGCAATAACCGTCTGGTACTAGGGGTTTTTAATGCCCACCATGAGTTGTGGCATTCCGTCCTAGGTAATGACCAAAGGGAATCAGCGTTGGCAGAGCAGATTGACTGCTCCACATTCTGCACGGTTAACGAGGATGCCACCACCCGAATAAGAGGAGAGTGTCACAGTTCGCCAGACTTAACCATACCCATAACCCGTCATTTCTCTTGGCTCAGACTATCTCCCGATAATCGCCTCCATAAGCAGGTCGCCCGATTTCATAACCTCTGAACGCCACACTTTCCTTAACCATGAGAAAGCTCACTGGCCAGAGTTCAGTGAATTCACCAACCGCCGCTTCAGAGAACTGCCCAACCCTTCTGATGTTCGGGTAGCAGAAAGGATTTTCCGAAACATCATCAGAGCTGCTGCCGCTCGCTATATACCTGCTGGTCGAATACCCGAGATAAGGCCAAACTTCCCAGCAGAGGCAGCGGGATTAGCAAACGAGCGTGATGATCTCCGTCGTACCAACCCTACTGATCCTATAATCAGTGATTTGACAGTGGAAGTCAACCGGTTGGTACAGGAGCATAAGAGGAAAAAGTGGCTAGACCATCAGAAGTGCTGCAACATTGGAACCGATATGAGTAAGCTGTGGGTAACGGATAAGTCGCTCTCGAACCCTGGAAAAAAGGATGATAGGACCTCAGTCACTTTTAACGACGTAACGTAACGCTAAGTCATCCAAAGCGTTGGGCCCGGACGGAATCTCAATGGTAAGTTGAAGCAGCTGGATACGCCGGGAGTCGAGTACTTAACGAAAGTTCTCAATTTGTCGCTAGCCACTCACATAGTGCCCGAAACCTGGAAAACCGCTACTGAAGCCAGACAAGGATGCCAGAAAAGGCGAATCGTACAGGCCGATTTCGCTTTTGTCGCCAGTAGCAAAGACTCTTGAGGCTTTACTCCTCCCCAGCATTAGAGGAAGCTATACAGTTGCCAACCACCAGCACGGATTCCGTCCACAACATAGTACCACAACAGCATTACACGCCATTTCCACACATATTAGTAGAGGACTGAACCAGAACAGGCCGTGTGACAGAACAGTGTTGGTAGCCCTTGACCTATCAAAGGCATTTGATACGGTCAATCATGCCACACTGTTTGAGGACGTACAGAGAACTACCCTCCGGCCAAGTTTGAAACGTTGGATAATCAACTATATGTGTGGACGCCAGTCGTACGTGGAATTCCGGAACAAGAAGTCCAAATCCCGTAGTGTGAAACAAGGAGTTCCCCAAGGTGGGGTGATATCTCCGGAACTGTTTAACCTCTACCTTTCCGGAATTCCTCGCCCTCCAGACGGCATTGAGATCGTAACGTATGCGGATGATTGTACGATCATGGCGTCGGGTCCAGTGGTCGATGACATATGCGAAAGGTGAACCCCTATCTCGCGGAGCTTGCCGCATACTTCCACGCGAGGAATATGAAAATATCCGCCACGAAGTTAACGGCTACACTCTTTACCACATGGTCTGCGGAGATGAGAACACAGCTGAATGTTCAGGTCGAGGGGAATCTAATACCGACCACGAACTACCCCAAGATTCTTGGGGTAACGTTCGACAGCATGTTCAAGTCGTCCGTGCAAGCTACAGCTATCTGCGACAAGATGAAAAGTAGGAACAAGGTCCTCAAGGCGCTAGCCGGCAGCTCTTGGGGTGCGGACAAAGAAACCTTTTTGACCTCTTATAACGCGATAGGTCGGTCTGTGGTCAGCTATGCGGCTCCAGTGTGGTCTGCGAATACTAGTGCTACGCAGTGGAAGCATATCCAGACCTGCCAGAACGCTGCCCTGAGAACTGCGACAGGGTGCCTCCTTATGACACCAGTGGAACATCTACATGAGGAGGCGAAAGTCCTTCCCTTACGTCAGCATAATCATATGCTTTCGTTGCAGCACCTGCTTGGGTGTTACCGTGAGAGTCATCCCAACACTCTCCCCCAACCAGGCGTGTCAGGAAGGACATACATGATCTAGAGAGGGAGGTCCAGCGCTACAAGAAAGAACCTCTAGATCAAGAAGCCTATCAGGCAGGTCTGAGTGGCATTCACACACACTGTTATAAAGTGAATGCCGTCCTCGGAGTCCACCCCCCATCCATAGCAGCTGAAGAACGTCAGCTGCCTAGACAAACCAGGGTAGTTTTGGCGCAATTACGTTCAGGATGGTGTAGTCGTCTCAATTCGTATTGGGCACGAATTGATGAAGATGTGCGTGACGCCTACCCGGCGTACGATACATGCCCGCACAATACGCTACACCTTTTTAATTGCTCAGCCAAACCTACTCAATTCACTCCAGAAGACCTATGGCTACAGCCCGTTAAGTAGCCGAATTTGTAAACCTGGAGCTGGAACCAGATTAGCAGAACGCAAACACATACATGTACTACTGCTACAACAACAACAACACAGTTCTATTTCGGAACTTATTTTCTACGGAAGCTCATTATTTACATTTCTCTGACATACTATTGAATTCTAGAACTGTTTGCTTGATATCCAACAATAGGGATATTTGATTCCCTCGTTATAATATATTTGTTTATTAATAACAACAAATATGATACGAGTTAAAAATAAAATAAAATACGAATTGCATTCAGCTACAGCTAGGATAAATGTGACGGAATTCACACTCGCTTAGCGAAAATGTTATTGGTAATGGACATCTACTTTTAAATTTAATTAGCAATATAAAACAGAGTTTGTGGTCGAAATTAAGCTAACCAGACCTATCGAGTCGAAAAGACAGTTGCTCTAACATATTTTTTGGATGTTGAAAGAGAAACGATCAATAAAAAATGTGAACATTTGGATTTTGCAAAAGTAGAAATTTGAAGAAGTCTTTAAAAAGTCGGTTTGTATTTATTTATGTTTCCATATTACCATTATTGGGAAGCAAGTACGTTGGCTATTTAGTTTGGGCGACAACTCAAAAAATGTTCGTTTTATTTCTAGAGCACTAGAGTTGAATTTTCGTTTAATTTCGCATCGCGACAAAACGTAAGTGTCGACTAAATACTTAATTTGATTGTTGTAATTTAAAAAAGGATTATATTTTTTTTTATATTTTCGGCAATAAAATTGGGCTCGACCAGACTCGGCTTATTTAAACTTTCTGCAAATTATTTTTTGTATATCTCTTTGAGCATCATATAATTTTATCCAAATGTATTGAGAGGGTGCGATTTTTTACAAGCGGTCTAAGATTACAGTGCCACAATCCAACATATATTGAGAGCTTGATCATACAGAAATTGCAACGACATTAGCGTTGATGGGGCATCTGCTATTCACACATTGGAGCAATAAAATGTATGTGTATTTTCTAAAAAGAACTTACTTGTTAAAAGCCGAAGTATCACTAACGTTACGACGATGTCCAGATGCAGCATTTTGCAGGGAAGTTTTTGGGGGCGACAGAAGTTGATCGCATACATTAGATGATTCCACACTTGTGTCCTTTGAAGATACAATATTTCTATCCACGCTTTCATCTTGCTGTGCTTGGGGCGCAATAGACTCGCTAAATGGATCTGGGAACCCGGTTGCATCAAACAAACTACTCAATTTTTCGGAAGGGATATTATTGGAGCTTGTTGCATTGACAAGTACTTCGGACGAGCTCTTCACGGTAGTCGTATTCGATAAATCTACATTTGCAGTGGTGGGGAAGTTAACTTGAAATTGTTCCGCTACTGGTTGTTGAGGTTGAGGGGATGTAATATTGGTACGTGGAGAAGGACTTGGTGGCAAACCTAATCCTAGCGGTTTCTGTATGTTGACGGCTGAAGATCCCTTAGGCCTTTGTCGTGGCGCCACGCTTGTACCAGATTCCACTATATTGACAGTTTGCGGCTTGACAGCTTTTGTAATTGTTGTCGAAGTGCGTTTAGTTTCGCTTTCAAATGGTGGAATTGGCAACTGATCAAGAGTAAAAGCTGGTACTTTCTGCAATTAAAAAAAAAAAAAAAACAATTTAAAAAAGTTATAGTATTATTTCTTGTAAAAAATTAAAGTACATACTTGCAAATTCTGGACCGGATTGTCTTTGCCAATTAGTGGAAAAGCAACATCGCAAACTTGCCAAATATTTGGTCGTTTTTCCGCATCGGTCTCTAACATGAATCGAATCAACTGATGCATGCCCCTAGAATATTTTGAATTATCTGGGATAGAAAAAGTCCCATTCTGAATGGCTAAGGTGCTCTCTCCAAAAGGTAATGTAAAAAAGCAAAGTTTATACAACAAACATCCCAGTGCCCAAATATCAGCCTTTGTTGTTATATTTTTTCCACTAAAAAGATCTACCATTTCAGGTGCTCTGTATGAGAGTGTCGTATATTTCTGGATTTCCTCTTCCACAGCAGAAACGCCATGCTGTTGGGGATTTAAAACTTTCGCCGTTGCTGATCCAAAATCGCAGAGAACAAAGTTTCCGGCATCATTTTGTAAAATATTTTCTACTTTCAAATCACGATGTATAATTGGAGTTTGACAATAATGTAGTCTAGAGACTGCTTCGGCGATATCACAGAATATAGTCAAAACTTCCTGTTCCGTAAACCCTACTTGTAAGCTAGATATAATTACACATAGTATCGTTAAGATTAAATAAAAACTTTAGACTATTTTTTACGTACCGCGCATTCATCATAGACAGCATATGATTTTTACAATACGGCATTAGTAACAGTACTTCGCAAACCCCATTTCCAGTATGTGTTATGCTGGAATCAATATATCCTATTATATTCTTGTGGCCATTTAGATTGCTCTGGAAAAAAAGAAACATCGGTTTTGTAAAAACTGGATTGGTGCTACTGTATCCGATTGCCTTACTGCGATTTGTATTTCCCTCTTAGCTACGTTAAGGTCGTGTTCATTGTTGACATACATTCGCTTAAGCGCATATTTTGTATTGCCCACATTTCCTCTTGCAAGGAACACCATGGCGAATCCTCCTAAATATGAGAAATTGATGTTAGAATAGTTCTAAAAATCGAATAATTAATAAATACTATTTGCGAACTAATATCAGTATTTTTCCAACTGATTTTAATATTTTAGATACATATTTCATTAACATTTCTAATATATTCATTACTTAGCCAATAATCATCGATGGCTTAAAAATAGTTGGTTAAAAATAGTTGAATAAAATATATTCGAAACCAATGCTACTGATCCACGTTCGGTTTTCATAAGCTATCCACACTAATATGCCTGATGAACCAACAATGGGGCGTGTACAGCGTGTGATTTTTTTTTTTTTTTTTGGCTTTACATTTCCATGGAAAATTTCTGGTCATTCAACTCATTTCGAAAGAAAAATAGCAAATGAAAACTGTATTTTTGTTCTATTACCGAATCCCGTATTAAATAAATCAGCAAATATGGTTCATATCATTGTGTTTTTTTAGATCCTTTACTCATATATAATTAAGGTAAATCCGATTCGGTAATTAAGGTAATTTCCGATTTGTAATTCGTATCATTGTGTTTTTTTAGATCCTTAACTCATATATAATTAAGGTAATTTCCGATTTGTAATTCGAATAACCGGATATATGATGACGTTAGCACTAATAATGATGAAGTTATTATTGATTCATCGATAAAAGTTAAGGTGCCCCAATCATCATATTAAAGTGCAAAATTGAACAGATATATGAGCTATGCAGAATTCTAAAGATAGCGAATTATTCAATAAGAAAAATTTCAATTGGACCGAACTGTGTTTACTAATATGGGTCTCAAATTTGTCGTTGTTAAGCTTGTAACAAGGAAAATTGAGAAGACCTCTCTAGAAAATATTATCTACGTTGTTTAATTTCAAAGGAAGTCAAGAAGATTTAAAGAACTACGACTGCGCTATTCCGATTTCAATCACTTAAAAATTCGCTGGGAATACAAAAGATCTAGCAGAAATAAATTTACTGAATATTACAACTACCACGGCTCAAATTGTGGCAACGTTAAAATTTTTTGTGCTAATTGCTAATTGATTTTAATATTTTAGATACATATTTCATTAACATTTCTAATATATTCATTACTTAGCCAATAATCATCGATGGCTTAAAAATAGTTGGTTAAAAATAGTTGAATAAAATATATTCGAAACCAATGCTACTGATCCACGTTCGGCTTTCATAAGCCATCCACACTAATATGCCTGATGAACCAACAATGGGGCGTGTACAGCGTGTGATTTTTTTTTTTTGGCTTTACATTTCCATGGAAAATTTCTGGTCATTCAACTCATTTCGAAAGAAAAATAGTAAATGAAAACTGTATTTTTGTTCTATTACCGAATCCCGTATTAAAAAAATCAGCAAATATGGTTCATATCATTGTGTTTTTTTAGATCCTTTACTCATATATAATTAAGGTAAATCCGATTCGGTAATTAAGGTAATTTCCGATTTGTAATTCGTATCATTGTGTTTTTTTAGATCCTTAACTCATATATAATTAAGGTAATTTCCGATTTGTAATTCGAATAACCGGATATATGATGACGTTAGCACTAATAATGATGAAGTTATTATTGATTCGTCGATAAAAGTTAAGGTGCCCCAATCATCATTTTAAAGTGCAAAATTGAACAGATATATGAGCTATGCAGAATTCTAAAGATAACGAATTATTCAATTAGAAAAATTTCAATTGGACCGAACTGTGTTTACTAATATGGGTCTCAAATTTGTCGTTGTTAAGCTTGTAACAAGGAAAATTGAGAAGACCTCTCTAGAAAATGTTTTTTTAGATCCTTAACTCATATATAATTAAGGTAAATCGATTCGGTAATTAAGGTAATTTCCGATTCGTTAATTCGAATAACCGGATATATTATACCAAACTCAAGATTATGATGAAGTGGATGACGTTAGCACTAATAATGATGAAGTTATTATTGATTCATCGATAAAAGTTAAGGTGCCCCAATCATCATATTAAAGTGCAAAATTGAACAGATATATGAGCTATGCAGAATTCTAAAGATAGCGAATTATTCAATTAGAAAAATTTTAATTGGACCGAACTGTGTTTACTAATATGGGTCTCAAATTTGTCGTTGTTAAGCTTGTAACAAGGAAAATTGAGAAGACCTCTCTAGAAAATGTTATCTACGTTGTTTAATTTCAAAGGAAGTCAATAAGATTTAAAGAACTACGACTGCGCTATTCCGATTTCAATCACTTAAAAATTCGCTGGGAATACAAAAGATCTAGCAGAAATAAATTTACTGAATATTACAACTACCACGGCTCAAATTGTGGCAACGTTTAAATTTTTTGTGCTAATTGCGGTGGAAATCACCATACTGCCGAATGTAAAATACCACAGTAAAATGTGCTAACTCTAACGGAAACCATAAATCAATGTCCTGCGAGAAAATCATTTCTCGAGACTTGACAAAAATATCAACCAATCAACATGATCAAAGAGGGGGTGGAGTTGCCTTTTTGGTTAAAAAGGGAATAGTTCACTAATTATTACCCATAATAAATACGTCATTGATCGAAAACATTGGTGTCCCACTTTCTACCGAAAACGGCTTCTTAAATATATACTCAAGCTACTTTAATGGTAGGACCAAAGATCTATCAACAAGGAGACGATTATATGCTTTAAACATCCTAAAGTTAACTACCTCAAATAGAAACTTCATTCTTGGGGTTGTTCCAGGAATAATTCTTGGGGAAATATTTTATATGAAAAATACCAACAGAACAATTTCCTAATTCTGTTTTCTCAAGATTGCTGGTATATTCCAGCCGACACTAGGAGACAACCTTCGAAATTAGACCTAATTATCACTAACTTTATGAACATAAAGCATGCTAAAACAATAAATGATCTCGGATCCGATCACATACCTCTTTTTTTTTTAATCGAACGTTCCCACGCCTCACATTCCCACCCCTGTCGACCGAGGGGGCGACCTCCCTTTACGAAGGGATCACGTACACGTCATGATCCGCATCATAATGGGAATTTAGTAGGAAATTGAAAGCCAGCTACAGAATCTAATTCATCAGCTAGTTTGTTAAATAATAAAACATGTATTTTAATTGTTTAAAAATAAAATCATTCTAGATTTAATAATTTCTAAACTCATACCAAATCTGCAATACAGTACACAGAATTAAAGTCAACACACATTTTACTAAGAGGTTCGCCCATTGAATAATTCGTGCGGTGAAAATCAGTATATAATAATTGGTAGTATCTACTAGATCTAAACGGAACATTAATTCTAATAGATGAGATTAGGAAATCTGAAGGTATATTACCATTTAATATTTTTAGTGCAAACATGGAGTTCAATATAATACGTCTGCTTTTAAGTGTAGGCAATCTAATTAATTTTAGCCTGCTAGCATAAGAAGGCAAAACAAAATCACTATTCCAATGTAAACCTCGTTAGGCAAATAGCAGAAATTGTTTTTGCACGGATTCTATTTTATCTGAATATATTGCATATTGAGGAACCCACACAACATAACCGTATTCTAATATAGGTCTAACAAGAGACGTAAATAACTGTTTTGTTATATATGGATCAGAAAATTCCTTGGCCCACCGTTTAAGAAAACCTAAAACACCATTTGCTTTATTTACTATTGATATTACATGGCTATTAAAATTTAATTTTGGATCCATCAAGAGGCCTAGATCGACAAATGAATCTTCAGTTGATAATGAATGACTGTCAATATTATATTGCAATATCAGAGAAGAAGATCTGGAGAAGCACATATGCTTACATTTGCATAAATTTAACTCCATACAATTTAACCTGCACCATTGAAAAAGGCTATCTAAATCGTTTTGAAGTTAACTAGCTTGTTTATCACAATTATGGGAAATGAATAATTTAACATCATCTGCGTACATTAACAATTTCGAGTAATTTATGGAATTAGGTAAATCGTTGATAAATAAAAGAAAAAGGACCGGTCCAAGGTGACTTCCTTGCGGAACACCCATGGAACGTTAATCGTTTTGGATTGATACACTTCAAACAAAACTAGTTGTGATCTATCTTTTAAGTAAGATGATATCCATTTGACTAAGTTTGTGTTGAAACCCATACAATTTAATTTATATCAAAAGCTTTACTGAAATCAGTATCAGTTTGTTTACGCTAAACAAAACCTTTTATTACTGTTGACGTAAATTGTATAAGATTTGTTGTAGTTGAAAGACCAATACGAAAACCATGATGATATGGACCCAATATAGATTGAATTTTCAGTGAAATTACGGCAGTGATTAATTTTTCGAACAATTTTGGAATTACACTTAATTTTGCAATTCCACTATAATTTGAGACCTCAATAAGACTACCAGACTTATGTAAAGGTATAATATAAGATTTTTTCCAGAAAGTAGGAAAGTGATCAAATTTAAGTGAACAATTAAACAATATAGTTAGAGGAAGTGCTAATGTTTCTGAACAATATTTAAGAATTATATTAGGTATGCCATCCGGCCCTGGACATTTAATCGATTTTAAACTACGCAGACTATTGGACACCTCCTGACGCTGTAGAAAAGGCATACAAATTTGATCAGCCTGTGATAACTTATAAGGATACGAATCTTTAATTTGGCAAGATGTACTGAAATAAGTTGTGACAAAAAAATCTGTGACAAATTCTTTATTGTTATATTACAATACTGAGGGCTTTGAGGAAACTTTTCGTTTTAGATTTACAAAATCATAAAAAGATTGTTATATGAGAAATTAGATCAATTCCGGAAACAAATTATACATTTTTCTACAACTACAGAAAAGCTAATTGGAAGCGGTATCGAAGGTACTTAAACAATAATTTGCCGTCAGATTATAGTAATAGATCCATGCTCGAGATCAACGAAACCGACCACCGTGTTTTCAGAAATTGTTAAACCGGCTGTTGAATACGGCGTTCCCAAAAGAAAACTTACT